GTTATGTTATAAAGTTCAACGTTTGTCTTATAAGTACTTTTTCTTTGTTTTTTTTTGATATCGGGGAAAACCTTTAAAATGCGCCTAGCTTTTTGGGGAGAAGGACTCGGGAGTGTGGGATTCGTACCTCACTAAAACCACCCCGATATCCACCTTCAGCACCTGTAAGGGGTACCGAGTTCTTTGAAGAGGCCTGCTCCGGAGTCTTCTAAATACCTACCTCTACAGTATTTGTATTGTAGTGTGCTTCAAGTATATGCTAATAACATTTATAATTTTGCTTTGAAGAAAATGCTACACTGAGACAGTTTTATGTATATAATACGATTAATAAATCAGGGTAGTGATAAAGTCAAAGACAAAACATTTGCTTTGAAACATTAAGTAACATTTAAGTGCGGGAGGGCCATGCTTCGGCACGAATGAGCCAGCTCGACCAGGGTGATAGCACGGCCTCACAGAAAACCGACGTGAAACTACGCTTGCGTTGTGTATCGTCGTGTGAGTGAGGTTACCGGAAGCTCAATTACCCTCCCCCCTCTCCCCAATCTCCCCAAACCCTTAATCCATCATCAAATTCCTATTCTCCAAAGGGCCGGAGACGCTTGTAACGCCTCTACTGTTCTAGGTGTCCATTGCTGACGCCGATTACTTACCATCGGGTGATCCGTCCGCTCGTTTACCGGCTTATTCCATAAAAAATATATTATAGTTATCAATTTTCGAATAGAATAAGTTTAATATAATATACAATAGTATTATCAAATAAATTATGTTGGTATAACATAAATCTTCAATGGGACCCTCACAAAAGTTACATGAGCCACAGCACACAAGAAAAGTCACAAAAGCTGAGCCTCGAATTAGGAAAAAAAGGGATTCGGGAATCGTGTCCAATGTCTAGCAACTATAAACTATTTACTGCTTGAGATTCGAACACAACAGGTAACAATGTGGATAGTTCAAAAATGAACCTTATAATTGTAAGTATACTTTTGCTTTCAGCCTTTCAGAAAATGATGCGTCTGAAGTTATATATCAATAGTTTCATAACTAGATCCAAAGAGAACTCCGAAAAAGAAATGTCTTTATATCTAGAAAAGGATGACAAGATTACTTAATTCAGAAGCTGGATAGCAACAACAAAGTTGAGCGCCTTATTAATAAACTAAAGAAAATATTTGTTAACGGAAAATAACAAAGATTACATCTAAACACTTAAGAATATTACAGTATTAATTGTGAGCTGACATGTTTTCTTGTAACGTCTATGTCGTAACAACTAAACAAATAGCTGTACATGATCAACAGGCTGATTCATTTTGACAAATTCACTGTAAAGTCGAGCCTTGCTCGAATCTCTATTTCATATTGGAATTAAGCTCGTTCCAAATATATTTATATGTTCATGATAACTAATATAAGAGGAAATATTGGAATATTTAATGAAGTATTCAACGCGTGTACCGATAATCTCTCTAAAAATAAAATCAAATAATATTAAAGGTATCCACACAAAGGGATGCGAGTGATTGCTATCGTTATAAATCGATGAATCGTTAAGCCGGTGAATGTCGCCGGATAAAAAATATTCATCGATTCAATTCTGCCAGGGATTACAACCACTCCGCAATCAGGGTTTTATCATACACGTGCAATTTTTTTTAATACGAGATCCATAGAGTTTCGTACTGCTTCAGTGTAGTGGCTAATTGAATTGGTCCGTTAGGTAGCTCACGTAGGTTGCGTATAATCCGACTGTACTGCAGCTAATTTTGCAAAGACCTTTATGTCTGTAAACTGTATCAAATGAATTCTGGGAAATCTAATTGTTTTATAAATTATAATGAGATCGAGGAACTAGGAAATTCAGTTCTAGCATTCAGCGCGAAGTAAACTACCGTGGTTTTCGTTTGAATGAGTAGTTAGATCAAACTAGTTAGGAGTAAATGGAAATGTCTGGTTTCGAATTAGGTAGATACTAAATAATTTGGATCTGAGGATGTTGATGCATTCCCGAGAGTGGCGTTGCATTAAGCGATCCGTCTGGTATCCCCCTAAAGAGAAAGATGTATTATTCACTATGCGGATTCTCAGAAGTAGCAGTAATGGTCGATAAGGCAGTTATTGGGAAAAGCCCAGTAGAAAGAGACGACACCTACTTAGTGCGACTGGAATAACTAAAATAAACAATTCTCCTTCTATAAACACAATGAATACAGTATTTCATGATAGGCACTTTAAGATCACAATCGTTTACTTTAGCATTAAAACCGTGTTTCGTTAAATAAACAGTAGATAGATAACAATGTGTGTTTAGCCAAACCTTATGATGTTCGTTTGTTTGTAAATGTATAATAGCTCTTGGAAAAATTGGTAAAAGGTATATCAAGTGCGATAAAATTAACGGATTAAGGGTTTACCTACGTCCATGTATTTCTTAGATTAATTAGGTACGAAAAATTAAGTATGACTGATGGTCATCGGCTTATTAATGTACTATTTATTTCTATACTATTTCTTCTCGCCTTTTCCTGATTGAGCCGGTTTGGTAATATCACCTTAATAAAAATTGAGCAATATAAATTGACATAATCTATACATCTAACATCATCAATATCATATCATCTGCCTTCTTCAAGTTGCACACTGTTTAAGTTGTACCTATGACAGGTAGTTGCGTATGTACGTATGTGCCTACATAAGTACAAATACATCATATGGGATAAGCCCGCCACAACCTCCCAAAACCGCTGCAACTCCTGTAGGTAAGCCAGGATCTACAGTAGATACAACCGTGAAAACATCGGAACACTGACGTCCGGCATGTCCTAGGGACATGAGTAACTGTCTTGGTTCCCGCAACGAAGTGGATCAGGAGATATTATGAGTGGAGAAAAAAAACGATAGTTTCCACTTTCCTTGGTGAATTACTGCAGGAGACAAAATGAATGCCTAAAGGCACAAAAAAGAGACTGTACAACTGGGTGAAGCCCAGTCGCCAAGCACCATGGAAATTTGACTAAAAACTAATTGTGTCCTATGTATGAGCTATTATTATACTTGCTTCCAATACCTAACAGGTATGGTATGTAGAGAAATAAATAGAAGTTCTATTTTAATACACAGCTATTAATTTTTTATATTTTAAAAATAGAAGCACTTGTTTAATGTCTAAGTTGATTCCAATCCCGTAGACGCTTATCCCCTCGAACAAGCGCCTTCTAATTTAAGAATAGCAAACAAGATGATCAATGAGACTTGAGAGCTAAATTCGTCACAGGAACCTTACCAGTTCGAGTTTTATATTAATGTCATTTGCGAACAGAAAAAGTAAAGAATTTTACTTGTAATAGGTCGCTCAGATATAGGATTTATGTAACACTAAATTGTCTTACAAAAAATGAATATAGGTAACCTAATATTACTAACTTGAAGATCAGCTTATCCCTTACGGATTTTAGATTATCTGCTAGTTATCTATATGCCTAAGCGCTGAATTAGGTACTTTCTCCCTCGTTAAATACATATATGTATAGTAGAACAGATAGGAAGAATATAGAATGTTTATTTATTTATATCGAAGTACATAAATAGCCAAGAAACCGCTATCATTAATTCTGTGAATGGATGTTTCTTCTACATATTATTGTTTCATTACGTGTGTTGGTATATATAAGTAATGCACCTTAAGCCAACACATTTCTCTTTTCTCGTTTATATTGTGAAATAGATTTATAAGATTATGTTTGTAACACGATAACACCATACGTCAATCATTCTCGTTTGGTTTTTCTAGTAATTGTAGAGATGAGGTTGCATTTTTATAATCGGTGTTATGTTGGTATTTCTCCTAGTTCCTAGAAATTCTTTAGCAAATGAGTTCTTTTGTGATTAAGTAGCATTCGTGTTGTATAAGTCGCATGTTGATGGCATTTTCGGCAGGTGTCTTTAGAACAGAGGTACGGCCGAAATGAATTACCTATCACATGTTATTAATTTGGGGTTCTTGTGTTCTGTAGTGGAACTTCTGTGGCTGATTTAATTATGTTAAGATGATCACAACTGCAACTGGATCCGCTCTAGAATGTATTAGTAACAAAATGACCAATACAGGTCACGCATTTTGACTTGTCAGTTCAGTCCACAGTTTGCACAACTACGAGATAAAGAACAGAAAACGCACTACGAACTACGTGGTACGAGCCAACCGCTACGAAGCCACGGCTATAGTATTTCACTACTTAATAATAAAATTAGCGCTTACAGATTTAAATCCGGGCTTATGTATTGGTTAAACTTGGCTCTACACGAGTTCTGATTATATTTGTCAGTGCCAGCTATATAGTCTTAGCAACATTTTATATAAAAATGAGTTTTGTGCAATTAGATTTTCAACTTTATTTTTTGATATAAAGTCGAAAATCCAATGAGAAAATGAACAGTTGGGCGCAGGTGAACTTTATGTATATTATTATTTAAATAAAGTGTAAATAATAAATAAATCAAACATCATAAACTCATTTATCTCATTCATATCCTGAACAACACGTTACCTACGTACAGCACTAACCGAGCAGTCAATTGTTAAACCATATAGAACTACGATTATTGTTTGGTTTAATGGTAGAGAAATTACAGCTGGGGAAACTAATTGCTCTTACTTTTTTATTGCTCCTGCATAGTTGAACGTTGATGTTTATGATGCTGAATGATACCTTCATTGCAGCGAATTTTGTAGTCTATAAGACTAATAATGGTCGTGTTTTTTGTATATCGCGAGTACTTTAACAAACAAGAATTTCATATGAATGACACTCACACAGAACCAATCTTTACATACTATGCTATCTGATATTTTTTTAGCATGAGAATCTAAGACAATGTTAGACTTTGACAAACCTAATTCCCGACTGTGCGACGGTACGTCACCCAAAATCGTCGTAACGACTATCTAATATCCATTACTCGACGTAACAATGTTATTATCTTGTTGCTTATCTGGACTGTCTCGTTGGTTGAGTGGTTAGACGTGTTCATGTTGAACAAGAAGTGTTAGGTTTGAAAATACTTTTTTAAATAAACGTTTACATAAAAAGTTGGTCCGTGCGGAAATCTAATCCACGACAAGTTGCGCGGCAGCCGGATGGGCAGCCACCGCACTGACTGTACAATCAACCTAAAACCTCTGGCATGCAAAAATAACATGTATGAATGATTCTTAGTTACCTAGTTATTGTTTATTTTTAAATTAAATTAATAGTTCTAATTATTCTACCTATATACTAAATGGTAATAGGATCACAATGTTTGCTGGCTATACGAAACATAGTATAATAAAACCTAGCCACAAAAGAGATCATTCTATGTCATTCCTATCTTGTAACATTATTACAAGTCTCCAAGTAACTGTTCCAAACATTCTGCGTATGGTTCTTAGAATTTTAATGCTCAATTTCCGACACTCATTTGGTGTACAATAGCCGAAGCATGCAAACAATGTAATCTGTAAGATAAGTTACAAGACAAAGGTAAATGCACGTGATCTCATTGCGTAATTTTGTCCTTACTGACCCTGACAGTGAAGGTTTAATTGTACAAGGTTTTATTTTGGGACCTTGAACAGAATACGTAGAATTAATTACTAACGGTCGCATTTAATAAGCGACCTTTTTTTGACCTCAAGGTGGGAAATCTTCATGGAGCCCTCTCGCCTGGGGAGGACGAAAGGGACTGTCAGACTCTTATTGACTAAAACCCACCCCGGTGTCCCGTCTCACACGTGGGTTCGGGAGTGCGGAAGTCACATTCTTCACCTTAATCTAAATCTTTAGTTTAATATAGGTACATTAAGGTTTTTACAGAAGGTTAGTAGAACTAGTAATGATCAAAAGTTTTGAAATCGGTAATTAATTTCGGTCGCTCTTGATATTAAGTCAGTGTGCTGCTGCAGTGGTTTCGATTCTATTTACGAAGTATAAGTAATTTGTAATTTTAATAATTGTCCATTGATGTGATTTAAAGATGTGCATTACAAAAGGTAGATGCAAGTTGAAGTGGGTGGTTAGAGATCCGATGATCGTTGATGTAGAGTTGCTTTTGAGTTAAAAACACTTCTAGGCAAAAGTAGTGAAGCGTACTCTCCAATTAGGTGGAGCGACCATATTCGTAAAGCGACTGGCAATGGTTGAATCCAAAAACCTATATTTTAAAGAAAATAAAACTCCTGTACTTTTTTAGTTTCGAACATAATCTTTATTTTCTTTCTTTCCGAATAATCCTATCTATACGAATTTCGAATTAGAAAGTAAAATTGCTGTACAATACTTAATATACTCAGATATTGTATAAGCGTCTAAACAAACAAAAATATATTCGGAATTGTAATTCCTGTTGTTATACAGAAAGGTTATCTATGTCGTTAACACCAGATTCAGTTGGTTCTTGCATAAAAAAATATTATTTTGGGTATGTATATACATATATACAGTACCTAATATTGTCATCATAACATGCCATGCTTTTACGAGTATTTTTTTTATTTTCAAAAAGATTAACAAAATTGTTTGTTGAAGCATCTATAAATGTACTGATACACGTGCTGTAAAATAGCATGCTAAAACTTAAAGGGTGTTTTATTGAGCATGTTCAAATATAATGTTAAAAATCGAACACCTATCGATTTGCAAACATGTCTGAAATAAGCATGTCAATTTTGAGCAACATTCCTTCCTACACACATGCTAATAAGAGACAAGTGCTCAATTGAAGCATGCTTTCGTGTGTGAAATAAGCATGTGGAACAGTGCGTTTAGAGTTCTAAATCTGTGATGCCCATTTCGAAAACAAAATCTGAGAACTTTAAACTAAACACTTCTATTAATATTATGATTAATCTGGCGATACCGATCCCAAGTTTAATAAGAGATAATGTAAAACCTGATGAAGATTTTGTAAACCACATGTGCAAATTACCCCACTTAGTACTTGAAAAACCCAGGTACACTTTCTAATCCTGGGAGCAAATATTTCTAAGTAGTGCTGTGCAGTAAATATTTTCATAGATAATATCACTAGAAAACTGAATAATAGACAACTGATATTAATCTACAACTAAAGTTTGACTTATTTTTTCATCAATCAAATATCAGGTCTTTTTTATGGAATGGCAAAAGTATTAGACCTATGAGTTAATTAACTATTTTTCTCCAATTATGAAGGAACATTATTTTTATTCTAACTATAAATATTACCACCGGATGTTACGTGTGTACTATTTAATTCGCATGTAAAGCTATTTCCGTTCTGATTATTACGTTGAATGATATCAAACATCCGTTTGTTTGTATGTAACATTTAGTTAGGATTTTCTTTGCTGCATTGAGGAGATAGTCGTCATAAAATTATGGCTTGTGTTTACTTTGAGTCAGACGTCGCGAAAACATTTTGTTTGGCCAAGACTTTACTACGCACCAGCTATCTCAGCAGAAGCCATTATCTAACGTTATCTATGTTAATTACTCGTTGAAGTATAAAAGGCCAGGTTTACCAAATTACAAACAAATTTAAACGAACGAGCTCATACGAAACACAAGTACACATTATTTGAAGTGTGAAACGAACGAATTTCGCGTTTAATGAAAATAAATAATATCACAATCAAAACACAAATATCGGTTCAAAATGAGGATCATTTATTTACTTCTTCTTGTAAGTAATGCATGTTTTACAAATATTTTTATTTTTTAAAGATGTTAGAAGCTTTAATGAAGTGATTTTTATTTAACCATAATATTGGTTTAGTGATAAATAACAAAACTTTTACTTATCTGTGTCCAACTTACTAAGTTACTGTTAAAGGACGTTATGTATTATAAGACGTTTATTCAGAGTTTATTAATATAGCATAGCATCACGCCTTTTTATCCTCAAAGGGTTTGGCAGAGGTGCACTGAGAGGTGGTAATGCCACTGTACAAGTGAACAATGTAACACCCACTAATAACTATTAATGTTATGAGTCTCATGTAATAGGCGGTGAGTCTATTGCCATATACCGGGCACAATTCCAGACACTACAACTAAGATATTTTTTAAAACCCAGTAGTGCTTTGCCCGATCCGAGAATCGAACCCGAAACCTCTTGCCCAGTAGTCGCACTTGCGACCACTCGACCAACGAGTCAGTTCAGAGTTTATTGATGATTATAAAGTATATTTTTCGTTTTACAGGTGTCCTTGTTTTGTCTGGTGAGCGCGAAATATTTGCCCAATGAACGTGCTTCAGGCATTTTGCTCAGGAAGCCTAGATCTTTATCAGATGAATCAAATATTTCAAACGAAAGTAATGATGATGATAATACAAATGAAAACGATGACGACAATGACGATTCCTTGGAGCGTAAACAAATTGAACAACAGTTGAAACTTCAAGAGAAAAGAGAGAAAGAGGAGCGAAAACGTTTAGAAAAAGAACGTAAGCATCGAGAAAAACTTGAAGAAGAGGAACGAAAGTTGCAAGAAAAAATAGCAGAACGGGAACGTAAACTACAGGAAAAACTGGAAAAGGAAGAACGCAAGCGACAAGAGAAATTGGAAAAAGAAGAGCGGAAGCGACAAGAAGAAGAAAGGAAACTGCAAGAAAAACTTGAGAAAGAAGAACGTAAACGTCAAGAAAAGATTCAAAAACATCTAGAAGAGATTGAAAAGAAAACAGCCGAACAAAATAACCCGGTGGTTGACAGCTCCTCTGAGTCCACTGAAGACAATGATCCCATGGATTTGGAAGATATTTGGAAGAACTATGTATATTCAAGGTACGGGTTAACTGCTAACAACAGTGATATTGAGAAGCAGGCTGCGGTGAACAGATATTTATCAGAAGAGCTTGGTTTAAGTGTTAATAGTACTAAGGTTGAATATCGCCAAGCAGTTTTACAATTAGTCCAAAACAAATTGTTAAATGATACTGGTGCAGCGGATAGTTTCCATAATTATTTGATTAGTCACGTGAATGCCGTGTATATTCAGAGGCTTAGTGCTGAATTAGAAGCCAAAATAGCTGAATTGGATAACGAGACAGCTTTATTGCAAAATGTCAGCTTACCATGGGTAAACGAGGCCCAACAAACAATCGAGCAAAAGAGAACTATACTTCAAACTGTTGTTCAATTTTTGTCGAACGTACTACCCAATTGGATAACTGGAACGCAAACAGGCCCCTCCGCCTTTAATCCCCCTACTTCAGACGCCAGTGTAGCACTTGGTAGCTCATCTGTGGGTGTTGCTAATGTAGATGCCTCAGTAAGTGTCTCATCTAACTCTGCTCCCACTGACGGCAGTGTATCAGTAGGCGGTTCATCCGCCGCAGTACCCGCCAATGCTGGCGCCTCTGTAGCTGTGTCGTCTAACTCTGCTCCCGCTGACGGCAGTGTATCAGTAGACAGTTCATCCGCCGGAGTACCTGCCAATGCTGGCGCCTCAGTAGCTGTGTCATCTAACTCTGCTCCCGCTGACAGCAGTATATTAGTAGACAGTTCATCCGCCGCAGTACCCGCCAATGCTGGCGCCTCAGTAGCTGTGTCATCTAACTCTGCTCCCGCTGACGGCAGTGTATCAGTAGATAGTTCATCTGCCGGAGTACCAGCCAATGCCGGCGCCTCAGTAGCTGTGACATCTAACTCTGCTCCCGCTGACGGCAGTGTATCAGTAGACGGTTCATCCGTTGCAGTACCCGTCAATGCTGGCACCTCTGTAGCTGTGTCATCTAACTCTGCTCCCGCTGACGGCAGTGTGTCAGTGGACAGTTCATCCGCTGGAGTGCCAGCCAATGCTGGCGTCTCAGTAGCTGTGTCATCTAACTCTGCTCCCGTTGACGGTAGTGTATCAGTAGACGGTTCATCCATTGCAGTACCCGTCAATGCTGGCGCCTCTGTAGCTGTGTCGTCTAACTCTGCTCCCGCTGACGGCAGTGTATCAGTAGACAGTTCATCCGCCGGAGTACCAGCCAATGCCGGCGCCTCAGTAGCTGTGTCATCTAACTCTGCTCCCACTGACGGTAGTGCGTCAGTAGACGGTTCATCCGTTGCAGTACCCGCCAATGGTGGCGCCTCTGTAGCTGTGTCGTCTAACTCTGCTCCCGCTGACGGCAGTGTATCAGTAGACGGTTCATCTGTCGCAGTACCCGCCAATGCTGGCACCTCTGTAGCTGTGTCAACTAACTCTGCTCCCGCTGACGGCAGTATATCAGTAGACAGTTCATCCGCCGCAGTACCCGCCAATGCTGGCGCCTCAGTAGCTGTATCATCTAATTCTGCTCCCGCTGACGGCAGTGTATCAGTAGCCGGTTCCTCCGCCGCAGTACCCGCCAATACTGGCGCCTCAGTAGCTGTATCATCTAACTCTGCTCCCGCTGACAGCAGTGTATCAGTAGACGGTTCATCTGTCGCAGTAACCGCCAATGCTGGCGCCTCTGCAGTTGTATCATCAAACTCTGCTCCCGCTGACGGCAGTGTATTAGTAGACGGTTCATCCGCTGGAGTGCCCGCCAATGCTGGCGCATCAGTAGCTGTGTCATCTAATGCCGCCTCCGTTGACGCAGCCCCCGTTGACGCAGCCCCTGTTGACGCTGCCTCTGTTGACGTTGCCTCTGTTGACGCTGCCCCCATCGACGCAGCGCCCGTTGATGTAGCTCCCGTTGACGCTGCCTCCATTGACGCAGCTCCTGTTGACGCTGCCCCCATTGATTCAGCTCCCGTTAACGCTGCCCCCGTCGGTGTAGCTCCCATCGACACAGCCCCCGTTGATGTAGCTCCTGTTGACACCACCTCCATTGACACAACCCCCATTGACGCTGCCCCTGTTAACGCTGCCGCTGTTGACGCAGCCCCCGTTGACGCTGCCCCTGTTGTCGCTGCCCCCGTTGACGTAACTCCCGTTGATGCTGTCCCTGTTGACGCTGCCCCCGTTGACGTAGCTCCCGTTGATACTGTCCCTGTTAACGCAGCCCCCGTTGACACAGCCCCCGTTGACATAGCTCCCGTTGATGCTGTCCCCGTGGACGCTGCTCCTGTTAACGCAGCTCCCGTTGACGTAGCTCCCGTTGACGCAGCCCCCGTTGACGCTGCCCCTGTTGACGCAGCTCCCGTTGACGTAGCTCCCGTTGACGCAGCCCCTGTTGACGCAGCTCCCGTTGACGCTGCCCCTGTTGAAGTAGCTCCCGTTGACGTAGCTCCCGTTGACGTAGCTCCCGTTGATGTTGCCCCTGTTGACGTTGCCCCTGTTGACGCAGCCCCCGTGGACGCTGCTCCTGTTAACGCAGCTCCCGTTGACGTAGCTCCCGTTGACGCAGCCCCCGTT